GAAATTGAGAACTAGCGTTGTTCATAGGATGCGCGGTGTTCCAATTCTAAATTTCAATTGTACAGTATCGTTTTCAACACGGGCTCGTCGTCTGAAGTAAATATTTTGGTGAGCCCTTATAACATTACAATTTCACCACAAAACGATAAAAGGTTACACTAGCCTTAATATATCGCAATTTCCTCTTTTGCTCATTAACTGTGTTGTATACTTTGAAGTCTCTAAGGATCTCAGAAGTAGCTGGTAATTTCTTGCTATCTTCGGAGTAATGACTGTGATCATTTTTGTTGTATGGCTATATCCAATAGGAAAGAAAAATCTTGAACTATGTGCGGTACTCGTGAAGCAACATAGATTTTTATTTTGAATGGTGTACTACGTGTAAATTCTTCATCAAGGAGAGTTTATGAATCTCGGCATCAGCAAGCTACCAGAATCACAGACCCACGTGAAACTTCAGCTCGATGGTTAGACGACGATTTCAAAAACGTATGTCCTTTGATCTGACACAAAGTATTGACCTGGACAAGAATATATCATCACTGGTGGATCCAAATCCTTTCGACACAATCATCCAAGTGTTAAAGGCGACAGATTAATTTCATGAGAGCACTAGAGTAAACACATAATCGAATTATGTCAAACTTAAAGGAACGTGATAAGAAAGGAGAGTTTATACGCTCGGCCAATATGACGATTTCAGTAATGGAAAATGTGCTGATTCTGACATTCTTAGAACTTCATAATAATACATTTTACAGTGGATAAATATTTATCAATACTTATTGATTTGTTTATAGGTATCATATTACTGTGAGTGTGATTCTACAGATATAACACCCGGGAATCCGGTTTACTTTCAAAAATATGTCCACACGACAAAGTATACAGAACAATTTGTCCCACGTTTTTAATTTCTGCTTAACCAGTTGTATATTTGAGGATATTGTATCTTAATCCGTATTGTAGTTTCCAGGTTTAGTCTACGCTATTTTATACTGCATATGATTTCATTCCAATGCATCGATAAGTAGATGTTTCCGTGTCGTTGTGAAAAAGAGACTCACTGCATGTTAGCAAATCACTTGAGTCCTATGACCAACATACATAGTGTTTTTTAATCGAGGCCTACACGAAAGTTTATGGGTCAGTATCTCGGTACCGGGTAATACTCGTCTGTTGGGTGCGAACTTCCAATACACGTATTTACTATTCTGTCACTGCGGTGTTGTTCTGGGTGCGGGTCATAGTAGTCAGAGATGGTTTTAGATGTTCTAGTGACTGGTTTCTAAATTAATTGCGATGTGCTACATAACTAATGACTCCGTCACTAATTAGGTAACTTAGCATTAATTAATTTTGGAGCCACAACGATCACCGAAATGTCTACTATACTATTCCATTCTACTACAGTATAGTATATTAGACTGCATGTAATCCGAGATTGCATTCATCTTATTATCATTTACTCACTATTTTGTCGAAGTGAAGGTCATTCCAAATCATACACCTATTCATTTTCCTCTAGAATGAACGAAGACGCTCAGGCCGTTATCGTTCAACGACTTCTAGGACAACGTCAGGCTCAAGAAGAATTCGATCGTACGGGCTACTTAGTTTCAACCGACGGCCCTTCGAGGCTATACCTCATAAAGCCCTCACTCGGGAGGACATCAAATCTAGAATTTGCCACCGCTTTACAAGACAGAGTGCGCCCTGCCGAAGCCAATATATCGACCGCGTAATCCAAGAATCTGGTAAATATTGATTTCATCGAGGAAGTGACTTTCCCAAAGGGTCTTCACACACGGCCCTGCTCACTGAATTCTTGGTACGATACGCAGAAGGACGCTGTTCAGGACGAGTTTTTACGATTAAAGAATTTTACAATTTCCGCCCATTCACGTTGAAACAAATCCAAGGTAACGTCGTCAACGTTGAAACGACAGGCCACACTTATTGGTTTAGTGGCGGAATTCATACAGGATTTCAAACTAACCTTGGAACTCAAGAAGATACGAGTGCAGAACGGAAATAACTTCTCAACACTACTGAAACATTAGACTTACACCAGTTTGAAATTATCTGCAGATTGTTTCGCTGGAAACCAAAGTAAAATCAATACGAGTACGCCGTACCGGATAAATTGTTTCATCCGATGCAAGTACATTAGAAGTTCGCATCATTCAATTGACACGAACAAAAAGTGTTTGCAGTGTAGCGATCAACACGAGCACACGCTTTAAATGAGCGGTTGATATTTTAACGGCTGATTGATGGAATGTAATAACCCCGCAAACCAACTAGCATGATAAACCAATCCATTCCCAACTCTTCGTTGTGAATCAGTTAACAGCACAACCCCTAGGTGAGTCATGTTTATATAATATACATATAGTGGTGATAAAGGGAGTTGTATATACGAGTGCTGTCAGTGGAGAGCGTATACCCCCTACCCCACCGCTAGAGTGGTGAATTCCTGCCCAAGTTGATTTATATAACCCTTTACCCAGGAATCAGAAAACTATGACACTTTTCTTTAAGTCCTCCAATATGTGCTATTCTCATCATCATAATTTACTATTTTACTTGTTCTACTTTTAGACTAGGACTTATTTTAGAACTATCCTGGATACTGTATTTACCATCTACCCATGTATCACGAGATGGCCAAGAGGCGAATGTATATGCTTTTGTGCCCCTTTGAGGTCCCTCTTAGGTCTAATTCGACACCTATAGCCTAATATAAATATATTATCCCTAATAAAGTTTAATATCACAGCACCAGAAGACGTAGTAATTAGTTTGCCCAATAAGTGTAGGTGTAGTCTTATAAGCGCGTGCAGTAATCATTTTCGCAGAACGGTCACACCCCTAAATTATTGATATTTATCTAGTACTAAAAAGTAATAGTGTTGTTCCAGATAATATGAATTTTGCAAGTAGAAAAAGTTTACTCTGATAATACTTCGTTAAATGGTTGCATAGTAAATATAGGCAATGCCGACAGCCCATATTCTAGCCCAATATATGTTTCGACTAAAATATTCAGGGACATTAGTTTAGAAATAAAATTCAGATCTAGCGTAAAAATTTGTTGACGACTTAGTAAAAGTATGATTTTTTTTTGTAGTTTTTTAATAAACGCACTCATCTGAGGATCACTCTTTCGCATAGTATGGGTGCAAGTCATACCATAATTGAAGGCCTCTGCAGCGTACCAAAAGGATATAGGTACCAAATGAGAGTAAAGTTGGTGGATATATACAAATGCAAGTTAGGTACGATTTGTAGTGAGATGAGAGCTGGAGAGAGAGAAAAGTGGGATAAAAGTGAGTAAGGTATGTGGCAAAAGATTTAATTGGCTCGTATCAACTTAAAACGAAACAGACTAGGTTACACTGCAATATGGTAGACTTTAGAAGGCCGAGAATCTGGGGATACGATGGACAAACCCTGTCATCAATAAGGAACCATGGGTACGATTGAAGCGTATTAAAGCACAATACAGTACCCACCCCTTCCCCCAAGTCAGACGATCCAACTACCACCGCATATTTTTATCATAAATCTACTACACGAATACTCCACAGATACTTCTAAGATATTTTTTAAATAATATTTTGAACATATATTCACACATCTGAGGAGGGATACCTACTAACCTCGCCATGAGCTTGCCCGCCACTTATGCACCTTCACTTTATATAGCATCTTTTTCATAGCACTTTTTCTAGCCCATAGCCACAAGATAGCATGGGATCTCTAATCCATTTATATTTAACATTTTACCTTACCTATAAAACTATAGTCCACTGGTGTATACCTTATAAAAAAATTACACACACACATCACTTATACTTCCAACCCCTTACTATCCGGTATCAGACAGCTCCAGTGACCAGTCTTCTGGCACATATAGATTTATTTGAGCTTCTGGTTATTGTACTTTGAAACTCTCCTCTTACTGGAGAAGAATTTTCTATTTTTTAAATTATAATAGAAAATAGAAAACAAACTACCTCGCAGGGTACGACCTCGTAACCCCTTTTAAAGACAAGTCTGACACAGTAGTAAAGAAAAATACTTCTACTGTTAGGTTGAATCGGACTATGATGGTTCTTTGGAATCTGGACTACCGTCGAAAATGCAAGGGCGATTACTCCGAAAACATTTTCTCGACATTTTTAGTTTTGTCTCGCAGCTATTAGCAAGTTATCTTGATAGCTAGACTAATAAACTATTTCTGAAGTTCTCTCAATGGTACTCTAAAGTGGGGTTAATAGCCTCCATTATAAGATTCAATCGCAGTTCAACCTCTTAGCAGAAAATTAGGCTAATTTTGTTTTAGCATAGCTTTAATCGTTTTCCCTACGAGGGTTGATGGTGTCGACTTCAAAACACTAGCAGGTTTTTTTATGCAACAGTTACATCAGTGACTAACAATTGGGTTGAAGCATGCACAATAGTTTAAAGTAGAGCACACTCTAAACAAGCATGTATTGATTCTCCACATACATTTTACGTCTCCTCTCGAAACATTTTGTATATTTCCATATATGTATATTGATTGTAAAATGCACATCTTATACGTGCTAACCCAAAGACCAGCTCATTAGAGATTTGGCTCGCTAGCTTTGTAGTACTCGATGCGTGTAGAAAATTAGAGTGTGGGCTCCGAGCTTCTGAGTGCAGTGCCGAAGTTCTTTATAGGTTTGGACAAAAATTGTCTACATTTGAAAACACATTCAAAAATAGTAAAAATAGTAAAATTGAAATATACATTGTGTAAATCCAATCGTGTAAATGATAAGAGTCTGAGACCTTTGCATATGACAGGATCTTAACCCTCACTTTAAGGAGGCCTTCGAGTTCTAAGAGTTAATTTGAACACATAGATGATATTCAGATGTTTGCAAGTGCTAGCTACTTATCTGCCTGGATATTCCAGTTGAGTAAAGTTACCACAATCGGTTATCACACCCAATAAGACCAAATGTAGCAATACTAGCGCGTTTATTGCTTTTGCGAGACCAACCCTGTCGCCGTCATTGTCCGTCAGCGGGCATTCAATTTTGCACAGCAAACAATATCGATACTTTCCTCAACGTTATTGGGCCATACCAGTTGTACAACAAATTCCGTCACATTTTAACATAATTCACCGGCCCAAAATCTTCATGTGCGATTGAGCACGCCTTATCAACATGCTTCGGAAGGAATATAAGCTTCCACACTAATGAGTAGCGCGCTCGAGTGCCTGGAATACAAATTATGAAGACAAGATTCGTGTGAATATAGCTATATTCTATATTTTGTAGGTATGGTTGGAGGTTCTTTGGCACATACCTACACTTCTAAGATGCACGTTGTTAGGCACTTTGCGTATGCAAGCTGAGTGATTTGTATAAATGTACCAACTGTGCAAAGACCAACGAATTCTACAGGGGCGACACTAATAATTCACCACTTGAGTGATTCGAGTGTACCTGAAATGTCCTGAATGTGTATCCGACTCATCTGACTGATCACGCGTAGTAATCTTACGACACGGTATGAGGACGTGCCATTCTCGAGCCAATCCACCACTACATGTTACACAAGCTACCACGCACTTCTTAAAGGATTGCATCTACAGTGACTACATTTAGTTTTCCAATCGTGATAAGTGTTGCCAATGCATTCAAAGAGCCGCTATCGGCGCGAGCCCCAGCCAAACCCAGACTAAATTCGAAACCTGATTGACTACACGCCCAATTCCAATTGCGCCATAGATGAGGGCGCGACTACTATAGATATATGCGAATACCTTGATACAACGAGTGATAACTATGAATAAACCACACGGATAAACACCCATTAGTGCAGCGCTTCAGTGTATGCTTGTTGCGACAAGGGAGAGACAAATCGGGAATGACTGTAAGACGAAGCGCAATTCATGCTCAGAGAAATCAACACTTAAGAACGAGACCAGCGCAGTGCCAGTGGGCTCGGAAAGTATACAGACCCCTACGCAATTCACAAACTCAGGTCACACAGACTACAATAGAGATACACAAGGCAGGCTCTTGTGTGCACGATAAATGCCGGATGGCCTCTTACCTGCGGCAGCTGATGGGGCACTGGCCCTATGTGAGATGTCCTGGTCCATGAGTACTGCCCGTCGAGGCTTCGGTTGCACACTGACCACGCCGTTCTGCATAGCGAAAGCCGAGAGGCATGCCAATACGATGTATTTACAATGGGTAGGGATACATTTCAATCAACTACAGGCTCTTCAATACCTTCGCAAGGTGGCCACCCACCCTCTTATGCCGTAGCAACCCACAACAGAAATAGTATTCCGGCCTTTAATACGAACTAGCAGAAGCAGACAATAAATACCTACCGTGGTCAGGTCCAAGAACTCGGTCTCGGCCTTCCATTCGCTGAGCCATTCGTCGTTCAAGTACAGCATGAGTGTGACGAAGTAAGGTTTGCCGCGCGTGCGATTCTGATGCCCATGCCCCGGCAGAAACACTGGGTCAGCATCCACATGCCATTCAAAATGGTCTCCATGCACAGTGGCGTTGCCCACAAACGGATGGGACGAGTAGTTCGCATGTTCTGTAGTCAGTGCCCACGAACAGCATGTCAACAGTAGGGACAGATGGTACTGTACAAGGAATACTTCATCCGAGATCAAACCCAAAACATGTTGAGGCGTGTGGATGGTAATCGAGTAGCAGAGTTTGGATCACAAACACACACACACACACATACACACACTAGGAGCGAGCGGTCAAGTACATACATACCAGTGGACGTGTGGTGGGGAATGTGTCTGATTCTATAGTCTGGGTACAGTTGCGTCAGTCGAGTTTGGATGGCGAGAATAGGACCGGGCGGAGGTCCAAGAGTGTCCTGTGTTCATATCGGTAAGGGTCAAAGAATGCACATTTAACACAAATCTGCAAATCCTACTCGCGGTAGGTAGCACTGAGAACCCAAAAGATGGCAACAGGGTCATTCCGTAAGCTACGCACAAGAGATAGATGGCAACAACAGAGCACTCTGGACACACCCTTCTATGAAGACTGACTGCTTACATAAATTGGCTGATTGTACTGTCGGATTGTGTGCATGTGCATATCTAACGCGAGTCGTATAATACCCACAGGGCATTGCGTATGACCGTTCGGCACACTGCCAACATAAAAGCCTGCAAGATCAATTGTTACACTGCACCGTGAAGTCATTAGGGAAGTGGACTATAACCGATGTGGTCTGGAGTGCACCACCCGGTGGTCAATGCGTTCGATTGTCTCCAGAGACGCTCTGCACCCACACCAACAGCACTACACCATGAAGTCATTAGGGAAGTGGACTATAACCGATGTGGTCCAGAGTACACTACCCGGTGGTCAGTGCATCCGATTGTCTCCAGAGACGCTGTGCACCCATACCATCAAGTTTGGATTTGCGGATAACTAAATGTGCAAACCCGCTCCTGTCATGTACATGATGACGTGAAGTGGGGTACAGACACTAATACCCACACTATGCGATAATAGCCCCACAGGTAGACTCACCTCACCCAGAAGACGATCGAGCATGTGCTGTTTGAGTCCCCACGTAGGAGCCAAGCCTGCGGCATCGCACGTCATCCGCTCCCAATGGGCGGGGTTGGGTCCACAGGCTTTGTCCCAGCTATAAAAAGCACAGAAGGTGTGACGTCTATTGGATCAGTCAGTACTGGATAATGGATCAACAGGCGTACCAGGTTATATTTGAAAGCCACTGCAGCAGAATGAACTAGCTACCCAATCAGTCGTAGCCGTCAACGCTGGACGATACGTGTCAGCAATTCCTCGGGATGTGAGGCACTCGCGTGTTGGACGTAGTTGGGGCTCAGACAGGCCGAAACATGTGTGTGCACGCTGTAAAACAAGCCTATTGCAAGCACCCATCGCACCCAAGCACGTACGGAGAATGGGGTTGGTTCTGGATTCTAAAATAGTAACTGGTAATCATTACACTCTCCCCTACACAGAGCTCCATTACCGCCCCTGGCATGGGCCTACGCGTACACTTAGGTTGTAGTATACTACAAGAATATATATCAGACAAGTAGAACAGCGCCGGAGATGAACCGGGAGACAGAATACACATGACTGCTACTACGCAAACGCACAGCTAGCGCTAAGTGTCGGGACAGATAGGTTACAGTGAGATAGAGTGACAAGGACGAACTGGTAAACTGCGCAAGCAGCACTGCTAAGAACGCTTATAGACATACCAGAGAGACAGCTCTCAATATACGCACATATGTATACCAAATTAAATAGACCTTCACAAAATAAAATATACGTATATAAGTATACAAAAGAAATATATGTACGAAGGTATACAAATAATAGTACACGTACATAAGTATACAAAAAGAAATATACCTACATACTTCAAACTAAAATATACCTACATACGTAGACAAATCTCAATTTGCATACAAATACATAAAATCTAAAAATATCTGCATACGTATACCAATTGAAACGTGTATACATACATATATTAACTGCATGTATATCTCGTTGAAATAAACGCAGGTATCTTTGGTGAGATCGGTTGTGGATAATTATGGCGTATGTTCCTATCTCTGAATCTCTCACTTACTATACCGAGGGGAGTACCCCTCGAATTTCACATATACACCTCTATAGGGTCCATACACACGTGATCGCATCTTCCGAAGCAACTGCCACCCACGACCAAATACCTACCCTGGGGTGTGGAGCACATCCATGAGCTGTATTCGTTCCGCTTCACTGAAAAAATTGTCTAGTACTACCACATGTGATCCATCCTTAGGTCTGTCTTCAGCGTCGTTAGCCACTACCATACCCGTGTCAACCCCATCCGCACTCTGCGCCCTCTCCAGGCGATCGACCACCCCTCCCCCGTGGCCAGTACCGCTGGCTCGTGCTTCAGAGCCTTGGGTCTGTCTACCACGTGTAGTTCCACAGCCCCACTCCCCAGGCGACACCACATCTTCTGTCAAATCCATGACCACATTCAGTGCCACACTCCACTGTGGCCCGTCAGACTGCACAGTGTCCATTAACACCTCCAACTGCTTACCGCACAGTTTCTGCACTCGCTCGGCCTCATTAGCGTACGCCAGATGCGCGCGCTTGCCCGTGCGCGTGCTACGCAGCTCATTGGTATCGTCCATGTACCGCTGGAAGTGGATCCAACTGAAAATCAGCGCGACGGCCTTCTCCACATTCGCATCCGTCCACACGATCACGCCAGTCGGGCGGTTGCCATGGTGATCTGGTGGGCGGTTGCCATGGTGATCTGGTGGGCGGATATCCACTGCACTACGGTCGGTGTATGTGGGTTGCGCGGGGATCTCGCTGGTGCTCGCACTATCCACCATCGAGCACATGCGGAGCGCATCCACAGATGGAGTACTCACGATGGAATCAGCATCGCTGTTCACGGGTAGATTGCCCACGATGGAACCAGCATCACTGTTCACGGGTAGATTGCCCACGATGGAATAAGCATCAATGTGTGCCGTGTCCTCTGCGGCAGTGTCAGTACTGGAAGTGGCCCGCTTTCTACTGCCCTCAGAAACTGGTTCATTTGTATCAGTACCAGCACCTGAGGTACTTGAAGCAACTTTGTCCCGGCTCGTCATATCCAATGCAGCAGAATGACTAACAGAGAAACTCGGAGCTGTACTACCACAAGTGACTGGACTACTCCTAGTAGGTTCGCACGCTTTTATCCCCCTGACAGGACAGTCAGTACCCGCCGTTGCCATAGCAACCATGCCGCTCGCTGAGGAGTCGCACGCTGCCGTGTGCATGGGTATGTCTGTTGTAGTGCTACTATGCACAGAAATGCTGGCTGTGTCGCTGGCGACAACGGCATGAGCTGGAATGATGGGCGCGTCTTGGGCAACACAACTATCAACAGGGATAGCAGTGGCATCCGTAGTAGCGGTATCACAAGCAGAAGTGATGGCGCTGCCGCTAGCAGCACTAACATGCACAGAACTACTGTTGGAGGCAGTCCCTGCGCTACACAGTACAACGGCCGCGCAGGGGTTTGATCCGATGTCCTCTTCACATACGGGGAGACAGCTGGATATGCCAGCACCAGCAACATCGGTAGAGGTACCAACTCCACTACGAGTACGTTTCAGACCCCCGGCAAGGCCATCCGCCACACCCTTTGTTTGAGCGTCCTGTCTGACCTGAAACTCCTTGTCGATGATGGGTGCAGGTATGCCAAAGTCCCTTAGTGTCGTATACAAACAGCTGCCACGTGAATGCCTATCTGATAGATACGTTTGCACGTATAGACGCGCACGCACTGCATCTTCCTCATCGCCCCAGTGATATTGCATCGCAAGTATGCCAAGCCAACGGTCAATGACTGGGCTAGAGGCCAGGCTTGTCTCTACTCTACTCACGTAGCTGGGTCGATTGCCAGACCATCGGTAACCCTGGTAATTGCCTGGTGTATACGAACATACACAACCACACTCGGCTCAGACATACACTGCACAATGCTGGCATAGCTCAACAGTTTGCGTACCATCGAAGTCTCCATTCCAATGCGACCAGGGCGTCAGTCATTCGCAAGCGATCTTCGGACACAAACCTTCCACGTGGACTACTCAACAGACTGAATAAGGAAGTATAGGACGAGACAAGAGAATTGGATGCCAAATTCCCGATACTCGTTGAATGTATTTGGATGCTGACACTCCCACCATGCCACATGAAGTGGAATGGGATATACGTCAGCTTCAACGAACATGCCGATTTGAACATAAGTTCTAACACTTCCGTCTCGCTGAAAACGGGTGCGAAGGACAAAAATTCGCAGCTTCAATTCAATTTCGTAGGCTCAACAATATCCTAAAGGAAATCCTTATCCGAAATACAAGAAGGTCCAATGTTCATTCCGTATCAATTTCATGTACAATTTCTCTCCTGTGGAAAGGCATA